TACTTCCTCGTTGGTGGTCCTGTATGTCGATCTGATCCTCAGTAACTTCCTCAGACACTTGTTCAAGAAAACTTGGATCCTCTTTATGCACGTCTGAGATGGGTTCCATGTCTCACATCCATTCAACAAGACTGATTTCATATTTGAGTTGAAAATCCTCAACTACGAGTATGTTCGTAGTGAGATATACCTGGTCCTCCATATTCTGTTCAAAGAAATAATGCAAACTGTTCCTCCATCTCTGTATAAATTATGCTCCGAAAATAGCAGTAAGATTCGACCTCTCCTAATGCATTTCCCTCTACTGTGACCTGACTCTGATAGGCTGTTTAAAACTGTGGTCTTTGCTTGCACCTGTTCCTGAATATGTGACAGAAACGCCAAGTCATCTGCAAAGTCCAGATCGTCCAACTGTGTCCTTGGGGTCCACTGTATGCCGTTTTTATGTCCTCTAGTGGGTTCCTTCATCAGCCAGTCGATTGCCAAGATAAATAGGTAAGGTGATAGTAAACATCTCTGTCTCACATCGGTCTTGATGCCAAAGCTGTCTATGAGCTGGCCATAATGTATAACCCTGCAACTTGTCCCTTCCTACATGCTCTTGATGAGGATAGCCAACTTCTGTGGGATTCCGTGATGTCTCAGTATCTTCCACGATGTTGCTCGGTCTATACTGCCAAAGGCCTTCTCATAGTCAAGAAAGCTGACGATCAACTGGGAGTTCCGCTCCAGGGACTGTTCCACTATGATCCTCAGCGTAGCAATTTGGTCCGTGGTTGACCGATTTTTCCGAAACCAGCCTGTTCATCCCGAAGTCTTGGATTTGTTGCAGACTTGATTCTCTCCCGAATGATTCTGTTAAAGACGTTACGTGATATTGAGAGAAGAGTGATTCCTCGGTAATTGCTGCAGTTGCTGAGATTCCTCTTTTTAGGAAGTTTCACAAGGTGTACTTTTTTTCAATCCTTTATGAACTTGCTCTAATTCCAGATCCTGATAAACAATGGGATAAGGTCTGCTGTCACATTGGCATCTGTTTTCAGGGCCACAGTTGGAATCAGATCAGGACCGGTCGCATTACCGTTGTTCAGCTTCTTAATGGCATCAATAATCTCTTGTTTTGATGCAACAGCACAACAGATTGGTAACTCATTTCTTGCTGGCCGTTTGGCAGGTTACTTGGCGGTGGTCTGTTCAGGAGACTGTTGAAATGCTCAACCCATCGTCTTGACTGAGCTTCTTTTTAAAAAAATGTTTTTTCCCTCTTTGTCCCTTACTGTTACTTCTGTTTTCCCACTTTTTCCAGAAGGAGTCTTTAATTTGTCGTCTGGTAAAGGATTCGCATGTAATTCCTGCTGTTGCTTCCTCTGCCCTCTCTGCCAGCCTGTTCATGAATTCCTCCTTGTCTGTTCTTATAGTAATCTCTTACACCTTTAGTTCACCACAAAGAGTCGTAATCTCTTTGGGAGGTGAGAGACGTCCCTATGGTGAACGGGACCAGCTCACTGGAGCTGAGAACGCAGTCAGGATAAGAGCATGGATCATCTGGGCCCACTGGAACACCTCAGAGTCAGAGACTCTTCGTAATAATCATCATCAATGCCTTTCACCCCTGGCAGGGTGTACAGGCCACATACAAGCTCCTTCCATTTATCTATGTCCTGGGCCATCCTTCCAAGCTCGTTCCAAATGAGCTTCATCTTTCACATGTCCTTTTCCACACATCTCCTCCATGTTTCCCTTGGCATACCCCTGCCTTGTGCTCCCTGTGGGTTCCACTGCAGTGACTGTCTTGTGATGTTTCCGCTGGGCTTTCTAAAGGTGTGTCCCATTTATCGTCACTTTCTTAGCACTATTTCTACTTCTATATCCTTGTGTCCTGTCTTTTCCCACAGCTCTTCATTTCTCATTCTATCCTGACACTTAATTCTTAGAATACTCCTCATACATCTGCTGATGAAAGTCTGGACTTTATTCAGTGCAGTCTCTTTTGTCTTCCAAGTTTCGCAGCCGTAGAGGAGCACAGACTTGACGTTGGAGTTAAAAGAGTCGAATCTTGGAGCGCAGTGAGATGCTGTTTGCTTTCCATAATTTTGATAATTGATTGAATGTTGACCTTGCCTTGGCGTCTTGCTTAACATCTGCTTCGGTTCCACCGTTACCATCGATAACACTTCCAAGGTAGGTGAAGGAGTCCACTTCTCCAAGGGGAGTGTCTTCCACTGTCGCAGCAGGGCTTGAAACTTTTTCCTAGCTTCACTACTTTCGAATTGCCTGGATGTATACGTAGGCCAAGACTCCTTGATAGGCTGTTGAGTTCCTAAGTCTTTTCTTGCATCTGAGCATGTGTGAGAGAGAGCAGTGCAAGGTCATCAGCGAAGTTCCAAGTCGTCCAGATATTGCCAAGGGATCCACTGTATTCTATTACGCTTGCCCCTCTGGTGGCTTCTTTCATGACTTCGTAGCCTAATAATACTACGACATAGCCTAGTACACAACGTTAATTGAACCGACTCTACCAAGTACGGTAATGTCTATCTTTGCTTGAGCAAAGAGAAGCATATCGATCAGTATAATTAACGGATACTTTAATTTAAGTGCTTGGGAAAAGTAGGAGAGACAGACAGCCAAGCACATGACGAGAGAAAATTAATATGAACTTAGGACTTACCCTTGGAGTAACTATTAACAAGAGAGAGTGCGAGTCACGTAACGTGAAGCCGAAGCAGACGACTGTCGGCCATGATTGTGAGATCAGCACAGTTGTAAACATCGTGTCGACAAAATGCCAGTTTGCGCTGCGTTTGGCTCCGAGGACTCACGTGGTCTAGAAGTTACCGGTGTTTACCTCTCATTCACAGGTCCCTGGTTCGAATCTGAGTAGTGACCGCAAACTTTTCTTCTCTCTAAAATTGTCTCCTTTCACCTCCTTTCCTGCTCTCTAGATTCTGACGTCTGCTTTCGTCTCCACTTTCTGCCCCCACCTCCTCTCCTACTTGGGGCTCATGACTCTTTCTGCAGCCTTTCTACTACTACTCCTTGGCTCCTTCTTACTGTTTTGAGCCAGACCCCTGATCTTCTTGTAGGAAAGATCTACATTTAACCTTTTAGGACAAGGGCGGACAAATCTCGGAGGTCCCGTGTGCAAGTTGCGCACGTTAAAGATCCCTCGGTGGTCTAAAATCGATAAGAGTGGGCTTCGGTCGCCACCCGGGCAAAATTCAAAATTTCCTACCTACTGAAAACGTTTAGTGTGTTTCACGCGTTCATATGACCTTATGCAGTTGCGAGTGCCGTAAAACTTACCATTTTTTTTTCCTTCTAAATATCAGTCTCTGGAAAAGGCACTGAATTTGATGACGAAGTGCGTTCTGTTTAAGCTATAAATGCATCTCACTGTAAAAACAGAATGAAAGAGATTGAACATAATTCAATTTAATTTTGATTTAATGATAACTGCTCGTACGTTCCTAGTTTGGCGCACTTGTCAATTTGTTCAAAGAATATTGACATTCCTTACGTTGCTGGTTTTGTGGTGTCAAGGTTGACAAAGCATTTGAAAATGTGAAACCTGCATAGGTGCCTTAGTTGACCTCAGTGTGTCAAATGTAAGTTCCTTACTGTTTTTGAAGTCTCGTGGAGGTTTGACAGTTCCTTCACATGATGCCATTGATGTGTGTTTGCTGTGTGAAAAATATTTTCGATGCCATTGTCATCTGCTTGGGTCGCGGGTGTAACATTGTCAAATGAGAAATGTCACAAATTAGTGCAATTTGTTTTGAAATCCTTCTAACATAAGCCTATAATTTCTTTTCTTCTATTAATTTTTTAAGGCACTTGACGGTATTTGGTAAAATTTTGATAAAGTGTCGGGGTGTTTTAAAGGTGCCCCTCCCTCCTTCCTTTTTTTTTGAGGGGGGGGGGGAGATTGTTT